TGATGTATGAAACATAAATGTCCCTCCATAGGCACAAAATATAGAAAGCAAAAACAAATGACAAGAGCAACAGCAAGAGAAACAAACAAACAGGAATCTGAGATTCTGGACAGAGATGACTAAGCAAATAAACTGTGACTATCCCCTATGTACCATGATTAGTCTACTGAAAATACTGAAAATCTATTATTTTGTAGGAAAATGGCAGCTGGGAAAGTCATATTTCTATTATTTTCCGTGTGAAAATGTATTCTCTGTAACCTTTAAGCTCCCAATTAGTAGGAAAATACCTAAGGTATAGTAAAACCCTTAAATATAAGGAAATATCTCTATGGATATGTAATATGTGAAGTACATAAAGCATGGTTTCCTGAGTGTCTATCAGTGATCTGTCTGATTGTCACTTTATTTGAAGTATAGATGGTTTGCAGACTATATGCAGACACTGATTGCAAGACAGAATAAATACACATATAGCACATGGGCGAAATGTTGAAAACAAAGACAGACTTACATCAGTAACGTTATTCAAAACAGGAGTCGAAACTCAAATTTTGGAGAGGGTAAAAGAGGGAGAAGGGGAAGACCGCAGAAATGATCTGTTTCCAGTCACAAAGCTGGTGGAACATGTAGACTTGCGGCAACAAATAACTGATTCCAGGTAAAATATCAGCGTTGAAGAAACAGCTATGATTTCACCATTTTATGGCTCCCCGGAACAAAACAGCTTTGAAGAAAATGCTCCGAAGTCACAGTTTGTTCCTAAAAGTTTTCCCTTTGTGTGAAACTGTCCAAGGGACACAGCTTGACAAGGTCCAGGCTTATGGTGCTTACTATGATGGGGAAGTTCTGTGTATATGTCAGTAGAGCACTGTTGGCCAATAGGGAAGCAAGATAGGTGGGACTAGGAGTCGAGGAGGATTCTGGGAAAGACAGGCAGAGTCAGTCATGATGTAGCCGACATAGGAATAAGAGGTCCGGACCCTTTTCTCCGGTAAGAGAAATACTTAGATTAGGAATTATGGGTTAAATACTTATGTCAGAGATAGCCAGTAAGAAACCAAGCAAATGGCCAACATCTTCATAATTAATATAGCCTCCTGTGTGTTCTTTTGGGACTGATGCGGCTCTGGAACCAGGCTGGTGGGAAGACAACTCTCTACATTACTCTTTTCCTTATGTACCTTCTGATTCTAGCATGGTGGCGATGGGACCAGGTGGCATGAGTTCCTCATCTGGTGGTGGTCAGGGAAGAGTCTGTGAGCATATCTGTGTTAACAGATTTTTCTCCTTCCCATTTAACTCATCTGGACAGCTACGATATTAGATGATGCCACATATATTTACTGTATATCTTACGCTGTCTTAAGTCTTCAGGTTAGCTCACACATGTGTTCATGAACACAAGACAAAACAAAATGTAAGTTTTCTCCAAGTATAACGAGAGCCCTGGGCAACAGTTTCAACTAGAGGTTCCTATCAATCAGGCCCAGCTACTGTCTTCAAACAAACATAAACTTACAAAGAAAATAATTTTAATCAGTATGGCCATATTGGAGTAAGGGTCTCAGCTCAACTTTGGCTACTGATTTGAATTTTGGGTTTAAATAAAGGAGGAAATTGGGCACAGGTGGTAGGAGGTATGCCCAATTAGTTAGCGTTGACCAAACTGTAATCTAGTCTATCATTATTTCCATGTTGTTTGCATGAGGTGGTTGCTACAGAAGTCCTCATGGCTTGAGGGGACAGTCAGCTTCAATTTCTTCTTCTTTTTTTTCTAGACAGGGTTTCTCTGTATTGTTTTGGAGCCTGTTCTGGAACTCACTCTGTAGACCAGGCTGGCTTCGAACTCACAGAGATCCACCTGCCTCTACCTCCCGAGTACTGGGGTTAAAGACTGCACCACCAATGCTTGGCTCAGCTTTAATTTCTATAATGTGGATGGTTGCTTTTCCTTAGGAGGCTCATTCCTTTATGAGGTGATCTATCTGAAAGATTCCACCGTTCCTAGAGTCCAAACAATTGCAAGTTCAGGACAATGACTGGAGACTTTTCCAGGCTAAAACGCTCCTTAAAGTCCCCTGTTATTATCCTATATTTGTTGACAAAGAGAGTACTAAAATCCCCCAGTTAGTATTAACTTAGTGCCTTCACTTTTGAAGGCAGATCAAATAGACTAGTGAATTTAGGGTTAATCAACTTTGAGTCATGTTTTTAGACAGGTATTTCTTGAATGATTGACAAGCCTACAAGCAGGATTTAGACAGAAACGGACCCACAGTTTCAAGACAAAGGAGATTTCTGTGTTTATCTAATTATTCTTTATCAATAAAAAATTAGGAGTCAGATTTCAGGGTAAAAACCCTAATAATCAGAGAAATGGTGGAGAAATGACCAGTGACCTATTGCTTCTGCTCCTCCATCCAAAGGATGGAACCCTCTCTAAGCTCTGCCTGCACTACTCCCTGCCTCTCTGTCCTTAGTTCCCCAAAACCTCTTTGGTTAATTTTGGTCATCTAGTATTGAACTCCCCTGATTTAAAGCAAATTTTATTGTCAGAATGTGACCAAAATACCACATAATAGGAGAAGCAAAATAAGGAGAGGGCCCAGGTTTCAGTTTTCTTGTGGTTACTAGTCAGGCATCTCCAGATCCAAGTGAAAAGCATCTTCTTTCAGCCAAATAACTTTCTGGGAACCTGATGTACTAGGGCCAGCAACTTTCAAGATAATCTTTACCTTGGTTGGCACATAGTATGATTCCCTACCCCCAAACATCCAACATAACATTTTAACAATTTTATTTGGACTGCAGTGTGAAACTTTCCTTTAAATGTCATTTTGTGAAGGTGTTGAATCCTAGAGGTATAAATGCAAATTTTTTCATACCTTGACTTCAGCCAAAAAGCATGGTATCAAGAAATGTATTTTTAAGAAGCCTGAGTTTATAGAAATATGCTACCAGGAAAATATTGACCAGGAAGTTTCTGTGGTATGGATTTACATGTTTAAATAATTAGATAGATCTAGAGTCTGTGATCCATAAATAAATCATATTCGCATCTCTAAGGCAAGAATTTATAACAAAAACCTGAGAAAAAGATTAAATCTAAGTTTCTAGAAATATCATATACAATGAAGTAATAACCTTAATGAATGAGTTAAAATGAATATCAGAAAGGTGAAAAAAGGAGATTTAGATAATCCTATTGAATTTTAATTCACTAATTGTAGCTAAAAAATCCAGTAGGTGAAAAAAATTTTAAGGAGTAGATTTTTGTCAAAACACAATGAAGAATGTAGAATGAAGAATGAATGAAGATGAGATGATCTCTTCAGTAAATGCTAGAACCTTCTCTAGTATCACATATAAAAATCAACTCAATTGTAAACATATGACTGGAAACTATAAAACTACAAAAATAACATCTGTAGGAAAAGAGTTCCGAGATATTTCTTGGTCAATGATTGTTTTTAATCAACAAAACAAAAAACAGACAGATGGGATGTATCGGGCTAACAAGCATCTGCATAGAAAAGAGACCCAGTTGCATCACGATGGCAGTTTGTAGGATAAGGGAGCACGTTTCCAAACCATGGAACAGCTATAGTTGAGGAAGCACCTACTCTGGGGGCATGAAAGCTGGAGAACCGGCCTCAGCCCTTGCTCATCCCTGCTAGGGGTGAACTAGGCAAGGCAATGCAGGAGAGCTCACCCTGGTGGTGAGGACAGGGCAGAGCTTGTGGGCTGACCAACCCTGCAACCGCCCAGGCCCAGAACCAGGGCTATCCCTTGGCCCTCACCAATATCCATCCCATATGTGATCTGCTGGAGCACGTGAAGGGGCCAGCCCCACAGACCCAAAGCTGCAGGATCTCCATGACACAGGGCCACAACAGGATATCCTAGAGGAGTCCCAGGGAGGCCCCAGCATCTATAGTGTAGCAGAAACCAGGGACCTTGAGCCAGACCAATGAACGACTCTTTGCAATGAACACTTATATGGATAAAAGGTTTACTGTGTGACTCCTTGTCACACTACAGCTTCCATGATGTTTTTCATGTTTTTCTCTTTTATTTTATTTTATTTTATTTTGGGGGAGGTTGCAAGGGCAAAAGACACAGAGGGACGGGAAATGAATGGGATGGAGATGCATGATATAAAAGACACACAGAATAAATGAAAAGAAAGCTTAAGAAAAATTAAAAAAATACCTTTTATATGATAAACGTACACGATTTTAACAAATATGATGTTCCTTTTTTTTTTTTAAAGGGTAAAATTGAAAAAGTTAAGGGAAGTTTACAGGAAAGAAAACTGTGAGGTTAAAAATGTTATTTTCTCCAAGCTTTATCATTGGCTGGCAGTTGAGAACTGATCAATGATGTGTACTCGCAGTGTGAGAGTCCCCAGTGAACCCTGACTCTGATGAATATTTATCCCCACCCAGAAACAACACTGACCCGACCCACCATAAGACTGGAAGGGAAATGAATAAATCTGAAAATCTTTGAGAGATTAAAAAGTAATACCTACAGGAGATTACATTAGATTAAACAGAATTTTAAATAATAGTCAGATCATCAAAAACTGTTATCATGAGGGACTGAGAGAAAATGACTACAGAAGTAGAATTTTGCCAGTCAACCGAAATATCAGGAGTGATGGTAGAACTAGGAGTTTTTAGTCTTTGAATTAATGACTAGTAAAATAATTTTATAACTCCTTAGGTAAGTTTAAATAATTGCTCATAAAACATATTACCAGTTGTGACTAAAGTGGATGTTTGATAGTGAATGGAGCTAAGCTATATGAATGAAAGATAGGAATGTAACAATTGGAGGTAGGAAGAAATTCTAAAATGTTTGTTTCATTTGAAAGAAATAGGTATTGACTAATTTAAGATTTTTAAATCCATGACTGTTTAAAGCTACATGTAACTTACTAGAAAATTGTAAAATATGACTTTGCAATGACTAACATGATTGCCACCTTCTCAGGATTTAGAAACACCACAGAGGTACATATTTGGATGTGTGATGAGGATGTTTCCCCTGGTGGTTGCTCAGTCAACAATGATGGCTTCTCCAACAGTCTCAGTCTGACATGGTAAGCCTGGAAGAGTTGCTGCTCTTTACTGCAGATGGGGAAGCAAAAGAAACTGGATTCTTTGCTCGATAGAGGTTGGCAAAGCCAATAGCAATAGATGCTCTCAGGAAGAAGTAGAAACAGCACCTATCATTCCTCCTTTCTCAACTGTCTTTACCTTAGGGATGCCCTTTGGATGTCCAGTTGGAGGGCAGGTCATCACCTACTCACACACTGGGAAGCACCTTCATATACATTTCCAAAAGGTCTATCTCCTAGGTTACTGTGACTCTCATCTCCTAGGTTACGGTGACTCTCATCAACCTGACAGTCATGATGAGTCCACGATTGCCTAAATAAGTTTTCCTCTGATTTGTTGCTTTTTATGATTACATGAACGTTATATTTACAGGTACTCCTGAAGAGATGTCCCTTTCAATATAATTTTAGGTTTTAAGACTATAAGATAATCAGTAGCACTTGCTTATTGCTATGATTTCCGTGTTTTTACTAAAAATAAGATAGAAGATGTGTTTGTTTAGTAAGAACCCCTGAGATAATCCACTTCCTTTCTGAATCAGGCTCCATTAACTACTTATCTTAGTTTAGTGTGATTGACTGTCTCAGTCTTACAGTTTTTAATGCTCCTATACTGGTTCTCTTTCTTCACTACTATGCATAGCAATCATTTTATGACTATCATTCCATTTTTTTATCCAGCCTCTAGAAGGTATATTGAATTTTGAATTCTTTTAACCAAACTAAAGGCTAAGACCCCATGATATCTCAAAATATGGACGATTTATAATATGTTCAAAAGGAAGTATACACCCAACTCCATGAGAGCCAATTTTTGCTAACTACTTTAATGCAGGCAGTGAATTGCTGCGGATGAAAAATGGGAGGGAGCGAAGGGGACCCAAGAGGCGAAAAAAAGAACAATTTTCATTTTCTATGTCAAGTTCAATGTAGACCCAATTGTTTTAGATACTCGGGTGATGATCTCGATTTTAGACGTTGCAACTTACAAGGCAGATGTTTGAGTGGCCCTTGATGACACTGCATTCCACTTGTCTTCCTTTGACGCTTGGGTCTCAGCTAGTCGTCACCAGCTGAGGCTGCTAAGGTTACAGGGAGAGGAGGTGGAGGCGTTTGACAACAGAATGGCAAGGCAGGTTGCCTAATGTGGGACAAATAACCCAGTTTCAAGTCGATCTGAGATCATTTCGGAAAAACACTAGCCAGGCCAAGCATGGATACTGGTTTGCTTTCTAAGGCTGTGATAAACACAATGACCAAAACTAACTTGGAGAGAAAAGTTGCTGTTTTCTGTGTCGTTTTGTTTTTAATCTTATAACTCGCAGTCCATCATGAAATGAAGTCCAATTAGGAAATCAAGGCAGGGACACAGAGGCAGGAACTGAAGCAGAGGACTTGGAAGAATGCCATGCTCTGCTTTACTGAATTTTTTTTCCTAGACAATCCGGGTCCATCTGCCTAGGCGTAAATCTGCCTGCAGTTGTCTTGGCCCTCCCATGTCAATCAATAAAATGCCCCCACAGACTTTCCTGCAGTCCAATCTGATGGAGGCGGTTTCTTGACTAACATTCATTCATTTCAGCTAGTGTCAAGTTGACAAAAAGCAAACAAATAAAACCAGCAGCACATCACCTCTGTGGTGCTTATCTTGAATTACTAACATCTGTGATCCCTGGGAAAGGTCAAGACTGCATTACTAAGATTCCTCATGTTCTTGGAAAGCAGGGAACTCCTTGAATTTTTAGTGGAGAAGAACACAACAGCTCAACCATGCAGATAAAATCAATAGCAGTTAGGCTACAGATGAATGAGGTTCGTAAGTCATATGTTGGTACAAAAGCTTAATTTGACCCATAGTTACAAATATGCATCTCACATGTCTGACTACATATGCGAATACATTCCTTGAAGTCTACCATCCTCCTATGGACCTGAATAGCACAGAAAAAAAAGACTTCCTTCTCATCCAATACATGTTAGTGTTGAAAGTGCTGAGATACTGTAAATAGAATAGTTGTACTCCTCAGTGGGTGAAGCTCCATAATTTGAAGGCAAATGTTGTGTAAGGTAAGTGAATAAAATCTTAGTAAATGCATATATTTCACTGTGAGGCAAGTGAGAATTAAAGAAATTAGACCCATTATCACAGTACAATTCTGTTAAAAGTTTAAAAAGCACAAGTAACTTTCCTTAGGTGTAATTTTGGTTTGTACGTTGTCATAGTCAGGGTTTCTGTTGCTGGGATGAAACACCATGACTGAAAAGAAGGTTGGAGAGGAAAGGGTTTATTTGGCTTACACTTCCTTATCATTGTCCAACATCGGAAGTCAGGACAGGAACCTGCCAACTGATGCAGAGGCCGTGGAGGGATGCTGCTTACTGCCTTGCTCCCCATGGCTTGCTCAGCCTGCTTTCTTATAGAACCCAGGACCTGCAATCCAAAGATAGCACCACCCGCACTGGGTCAGGCCCTTCCCCATTAACCACTACTAAAGAAAATGCCCTTTCGATGGATCTTACGGAGGCATTTTCTCCACTGTGGCTCTCTTCTTTCAGATGTCACATTGACATAAAACTAGCCAGGACTAGCATTTATCAAAACTGTCATTAAAATTATCATGAAGAGTACCGGAGGGGAGAGGTGATACCATAGCTGATGGAATTTTATTGAAAGAGACTATATGAGATTTTTGAAACTAAAAGTTCCATGTCTGAGTTTTACATCTATAATTATGATATTAACTTGTGTTATGTGACAAGCTGTCAAAGTTGCTATTTTACAACCCATTTAAATTAAGTCAAAGGGAGTAAACCTTTGAGGCCTTTCTATTCAATTATCTTACTGTTTAATGCAGAGGGAGTTTGAGTTTGTGAAGACGAGTCAACCTATTGAACTTTTGAAACTTGTGGTAGAAAATAGTTAGCTATTTGAGAGGAGATAATAACTGGACAGACCACTTAAAATGATAATGATTGCATGATAGAAACAAGGAAATGATTGCACAATAATAAAACAGCAAAAACAAAACCAGACATATCTTGACACTGAAAAAATGACCAAATATAGTCTTAAATGTTTGGATTTTATGGAAAATGGAGATGAAGGAAGGAAGTAGTCATTTTCAATCTGTCTTCCTGAAAATAACATTTACTCTTAGTATCATTTGGTTTTCTGTAAATTGAGTCCTAAGCTTAACTTTTTAGTGTAAATGCAACAGATTATTATTTTGTGAAGTGTTTATATGGTGAAACTTAGTTTTAACATATGGGTTGATTTAATTTTTTGTCTCTTTAGGAAAACAATTGTTTCAGTATATCAACCACTGGGAATATTACTTCCCTCTCCAGTTTACATTTGCAAATTTCATTATAGCATGATATGGTTACCATCTGGTGTTTTTTAGATAACATTATACTTAAGGCTTTTCAGCCTTGGGATAATGATATTTCAAAGCCAAAAGGAATTCCTTTCCGAGAATATTACTTTATATAAGCAACACTTTTGTACAACAGAAGATCTGGTTTAAGTTTATACATATTACACATACTGGAAATATGTGACTAGCACAGTCTGATGGACTAGATATCCCTATTGGTGTGTAATACTTTATATTTATCAACTTAAACCGTTGCAGAATACTGGTTTGCATTGTCACTCTGAGACTTCCAAAGGAACTAAACCTTGAGTCATTAGATTATCTTTTTTTTTGTTGTTTATTCCTTTTTGTTGTCGTAAAACCTTGAATGTTACATGTTTTTATTTTTGTGTTAAAATCTTGTCATGTTTAAGCTTCTCTGCTGAGCAAATATTTTATGAATGTAAATGTAGTAAGTGTTCTAAAGGCACAAACATTATCTCCCTTTCCTCTCATTCTCCATCCTTTCTTCCATCCCCCCCCCATCTTCCTTTCTGTCTTCCCACTTGTTACAGCTTGAATGAGAAATATCCCACATTCAGTGTGTTTGAAACTCAATGCTGGTGCTGTTTTGAGACTCTATGGAACCTTTGTGCATGGGGCTTGGAACAGGAACAGGAACCACAGCAGTGGAGTCTAGCGATTCTATGTCAGTTCGCATGTACCTAACCTCTCAGTTTTCTGTCTGCAGACATAATACAACACGCTGGTACCGCGCTCCTGCGGCCACAATGATGAGCCTCTTGTGGCGTCATCCTCACCCTGCCTGTTGAGATCCTTACAATTTTGAGTTGAGTTTTATGCAGGGACAGCTTTGTGTATTATTTTTCCCATTCTTCCACACACAGTTGTCCAGTTTGACTCAAAATAAGACTAAGAATTTTTAGTGGGAGAATTGAGCAACACTGGCAAGCGAAATTCTGCATATTTGAATTTAATTTCCTGAGTAGAAGAGCTGAGCTTTGGTTTCAGAGTCGTAAGAAGCAAAGGCTTCAGCTTGACTTTGTGGAAGACTGTCTCCATTGTCAGCCAAGGTTGCTCAGCACGGGTTTTCACAGACACAGGCAAATGTCTGGATAGATGGGCTTTCAGGTGACATCAGTTACCTAAGGTTTTCTACAGTTTGAAAAGGTAGTTCTTGAGATGACTTAGGAATATTTATTCTAACTCAGGATCATCAGGTGTGTGTGTGTGTGTGTGTGTGTGTGTGTGTGTGTGTGTGTGTGTGTGTGTGTAGCACATTTGCCCAAGATTTTACACTTAGTAAAAACAATTGGTCAAGTGAGTTGCAAACTACACTAGCTATTTCTTTCACGGAATGACCTTTTATTTCTTTTAACTGTGGTTATTGACTCTTTTTAAATTTTTTATTAAAATAAATTATGTCTTAGAAACACATATGCATGCTTCACATGTCAATCTCAGCTCCCTCTCCCACCCCTCCTCCCTTCTCCCTCCACCAGCCCTCCCAATGCCCACATCATTCTCCAGGGAGGGTGAAGCCCTCCTTGGGGGATCTCCAGAGTCTGTCATTTTATCCAGGGAAGGACCTAGGCCCTTCCCCAT